GACACCCTTAGACTTAACCCATACAAAACAAGTTTAGAATAAATATGACATGTATATCAAATCTATATATCTATTAATCTCATTTAAACTATCATTTATCTAACTACATATGAAACATTCAACTCGAGTATTGTCTAAAAACGATTCACCGTTTTCTTTTTGTATATAGTCGAGTTTCGACTCCTCTAGATCGTTTTTCTGGTTCCGCCTCGGGGAGGATGGGAGGATGTATGTATATGATTTGTAGATATTCCAAGCAATGATATGACCTAGCTAGAATAATAGCATCTCCAATAATTTAACTTAGTATCTTCAGTTTTTTTTCTTTTATTTGCAGTTTGAAAGCTCGTGCATGGTAGTCATAGGGGGAGTCACCTCATGGCTGCTATTGCAACAAGTTGGTTCATCTTTGACGCATATTTGGTCATCCAAGCCAAAGAGATGACGTGAAAAGACAAGGGAAAAAACACATACTGGCCAAAAAGAATCTTAATTAAAGAAAAGGAAAAGGAAAGCAAGAAGAAAAGTAAATGAAGGACAGGAAAACAACATATACCCATTGAGAATTAATTAGTGGCTTAAGGATGACCACTTGTTCATTAATTCTCTTGAATGCTGCATGACGTGTGTCCCAGTTTTTCCTTAATTATTAGGATTAAGGAACCTTTTTTGGCTGCTAAGTTATGATTTATGAACCCATTCAAAGTGAGCCAAACACCCTCAGGTGGACTTCACAATTTCCGCCTCTCGAATATATACAATGCAGGTTCACATTTGGCGGTCTGGTTAGTAGTGGTTTAAGATTCAATTCCAATAATGTGAACCCTTTAAATAATCTTTAAATAATGTGAACTCTTTAATTAATCTTTAACTAAACTAAAAGTCTAATTGATAAGATAAACTTTACATACATTTACTCCAATACTCTTAGTACACACTCGTATATCTCTAATTTGTTCTCGGTCAACCATATAATTTTGACTATTTTACCTATATATCACTCTAAGATCTATTTGTGGTTTCTGTTCAACCTTAATTCGAATAGGATTGCTACATGAAACCTTCACTTTCAAAGGTAACGTACTTGGCTTTAATCCTTTTTAAAAGAATAAATTAAAACAATAAAACATCAAAATATAAAAGTGAATGAGTCATATTTCACAAGAAAACAATGATACCCTTACTTAAGAAAATATGTTACTCCATATGGTTTCCTCTTCTTTAGTAAAATTTATTTAAGAGTAAAACATAGATAAAATTCTAAAATAAGATTGAGTATATTTTCTCCTTCTAAGTATAAAAGAATAAAATCTTTCCTAATTAAATAGGAATTATATTCGCAATTCCTATATATTTTAGAAAGAAAACGGAGGAAATTACCAAAACACGGGAATTTTTTGTCTGACAAGCCAAAATACGGGAATGAGAATTAGGGTACCAAAATACGGGAGTCGGAACTCCCAATTCCGACTAGGGCTTAGGCTTAAAAACAATTAATATATCCTCCTGTCGGATTTGGCAATTCCGACAAGGTTGAGCACCAATTTTATTTTATTTTTAATTCCAAAACAAAAAACGGATTTCATTTTGGGTGAACAGGAATTGGCACTTCCAAGTAGAGTAAAAGCCAAAAACAATTAATATATCCTATAAAACTCATTCCCATTGTCAATTTTTTAATACAAAAAATATCTTCTTCTCTTAATATATTTAATACTTGTTCCTTTCTTAAATAAATGCAACCGTCAATGTTTCATACTTGTCGAGACACAACTTTGACCATTAATATATATAATTTTGTATTAGTAAAAAAATTAAAAATTAGATTTTTAAAATTTACAATGAGACAAATTTAAAAATATTATTTTCATAAAAAATATTAATACATTAATAAATAAAACGTAGTCAAAGTATAACATGTGAATACTCTAAAATTCAACATGTTGCATTTATTTAAAAATGAAAGTAGTATATACTCCCTCCGTCCCAGAAAATTCTTCCTAGTTTGACTTGGATCGGAGTTTAAGAAAGTGAGAATAAAGTGGAAATGTGTGGTTGTAGTTGTGTAAGAAATAGGTGAAATGAATGTGAGCCACACAAATAATCAAAAAGGTGAAGTTGGAAGAATTTTCTGGGACGTCCCAAAAAGGAAAGTTGGAAGAATTTTCTGGGACGGAGGGAGTACTATATAGAAATGTCTAGTGAGTGTAATACTTTTGTTATCAGTGCGGAGCTAGGGAGGGACACGAGGGGGCAGGCATCCCCGCTTCGGGTAAAAAAAAATTAGTATTACTAGTTACAATATACTTAATGCCCCCCCGCCCCTCTCCTTTTTAAAAATCAGTAACAATTAAGGATAATTTTAAATTAGGTGTTTAAAAAAGGCAAAGTCTTTCAGGAAACGCATGTGTCTCTAGGAATACAAGTATTGGTTGCAACATATAGGGGTGAGCATTCGGTCCGTCGGTCAAATAACCGACCGCTAACCGAATAACCGAGTAACCGACTTCTTTTAATATGAAATAACTGATTCGATGACCGATCGATAACCGACTTTTTCGGTCGGTTCGGGTATCAGTTTTCGGTTTTATCGGTTTTGTCGATTATTTGCTCACCCCTAGCAGCATATCAGACTCATTCAAATGCAAGTGTGAGTTGTTTTAGACCTTTAATGACACACGTGTTGACTTTTCGTGGTTATAGTGAGCAATAAAGTAATGAGTTTGACGATTATGTTTTCACATTGTGATGGTTCATTGGAATGGCTCTACATTGCAAAAAGATGATGAAATTTAATCACATAAATATACACGAGACTATTCTAAATCATGTTAGAGGTGAGGGATTTTCCGAAATTAGATTAATTTGCGGAAAATTGCCAAAATATAAGAACTTGGTATATGTTGCGTCTAGACTGTGCATCTAGATTACTTGCAGGGTAACTTGTGTTTAGCAATGGGGATGAATTAAAAAATAAAATAAAGTAATCAATGTTTTTTATTTATTCATTTTAAATAAATTGCACGGTATGTATCACTTCAATTCCAAAAAACTGATTTTTTTTAATTCAAAAAAATCATTCAAAGGGATGGTGCCAATTCGGAATTTAAAGCATTTTATTAAAAAATCGGAACTTTTTTCAGCCCCTTTTTTCAAATCACTTCATTGCAAATAAAACTGAATTTAAAAAATAAAATATACACCTTGTCGGAATTGGTGTATCCGACTACTAGCCCAACCTTTTCCTTTTTTAGCTCCTAACTCTAGTCGGAAGAGCCAATTCCGACTCTCGCTTTTTTGGAAACCCTAATTATTTCCCCGTGATTTGGCAAGGAATGTTGAGGATTCCCGTATTTTGGTAAATCACCCAAGAAAACGGTGGTTCTTTTATTTTATTCATATTTAGAGGATTTTCTCTTTTAGTTACACACAAAGAAGACACACATCTTGGAGTTCCGCCTGATGTGTCACGTAGTATATAGATGCACCTTTTTCATGTGAAATCTCGTAGTCTTTTCTATAGTGAAGGGCTGTGACCATTTTATTTCTACATTAATTTATGATCCAAATTCAAAAATAACCAAACAGTGATGTTGCCATTTTCTGTTATTTGCTTTATTGTGTGTTAGAAGTGCGACACCAGCAAGGCTTGGTACGTCGTTCCCTCATCCATTGGTCATGATAAGTGTATTGATGTAACACTAATGGCAGGCCACATCAGGTCAACCAACACTTTCATACACTATCAACTCTCTTTTCTTCCAACTAACTCTAGTTACTATATTAACTTAACTATGAAGTTATTGAAATGAATTTTCGCTATTGAAAAATCCAAACGTCATTTTGTATTTAGATATTCATTGACCAGTCTCATCTGTCATTTTATAACTTTGGGATGTTTTCATTACCCGTCTGTAACTTTTAGTTACTTGCAAATTTGATCCTGTAATTAATAAATATTGACGATTTGAAGCTAAGATTTTTCTCCTGAAAAGTACACCCTCCGACAATAGTATAACGAAAAAGATGTCGCCAGCGTCGGATTTTTCTGCCGGAAAGTGTACTAATTGCAATGATTTATTAGTTACAGGGTCGAATTTGCAAGTGATTAAAGTTTAGTAAAATTACAAATCTCCCATATTGGTATTGTAGTTTTAGTAAAATTTTGATCAAATATGAAATCAAGACAGATATCATTTGGACACTGATTTAAAAAGAGAGAATTCCCTAAATATGAGTGAAAACGTGTTGAAATTCTAAAAAAGGAGTATCATGTTTTTTATTCCCTGAATAGGAGTACATTTCTGCCAAGTTATGCATTACAAGGCTTTTAACATGGCATTTTTTTCAAACTTGGCGGATTACTCCTATTCAGGGAAAAAACATGATACTCCTATTTTGGAATTTCAAAACGTTTTTACTCTTATTTAGGGCAATTTCTAATTATCAATTTGATCCTTGTACTATCACGAACACGTCAATTAAGTTCTCATATTTTTTAAAAATCAATTAGATTCCCAAACTTTAAAAAATGTTCAGTTTAATACGTAGTAGAATATTATATTTGGGACTTATGTGTAAATATACTTATACTGCTTAAATTATTACTATAAATATGATCCTAGGGCTCCGTGATGAATAAGTTATTATTCTCTCACATACATCAAGGGTAGCTTGTTTAGGGTGTTTGGCTTATTTATACACTCTGACATTGTCCAACCTGAATCGGGCCAAGGGAGCGAACTCTAGATGGCTCCGCCAATTAAGACTAATACACGGTTGAATCTAGACGCGATGTGAGTTAACTTCCCTTGGTTGGTATAGTTACTTTTGAGATAGAGTAGTTGTATAGAGATGAAGTTAGTTCCAAGTTGCCTTATTATGTTACTCGTTCCAGGGTGCCACGTGTCTCACTACAAAAGTTGAGTGCGTGTGCATATGATTATCTGAAGGTATATATAGACATGCACGTACATCCTTAGCTCACTAATTTCTAGCAATTATTGCTCTATTAGCTTACAAATTATGGGTTCTGAGCAAACTATTTGCAGCACAGACTTAGAGTTGGGGTTGGGATTTTCCCACACCCGTCAAATTAGCACTAGTAGTAATATGATTCATGCGGCGGTAGAAGTCACGTCGCCGGCGGCGGTCCGGCTGCCGTCGCTGAATCTGAGCCTCTCTTGTGAAACCTATGACCGGAACAAAGACCGGGAATCCTCGGACTTGTACCGTCAGGATAGCTCTGCTTCGTCGTACCTATCGAACGCCACCGTTAAAAGGGAAAGAGAAGTTTGCGGTGTCGTATTTGTAAGAGCTGAGGCGGCGGCGGGGGCGGCGGAGAGAGTTTGTTCAGGAGCAGTTATGTGGGAAAATGGTGAAGTTGGTTGTAAGAATAATTATGCAACGAAGAACAAGAAGCAAAGGCTCTCCAAATCTCAGTCTTCTCTTTTAGAAGAAACTTTCAAGCAAACCACCACTCTCAATTCGGTACCTTATCTTTATCATGTCATCATAATTGCAATGTTTTGCCTCGCTAAGTCTAAACCATCTCATGTCAATGAACACTTCAATTAACTTTTTTTCCCTATGTAAGGCTACAATTAATTGAACTGATTAAATATAGGGAATAAAGTGTAAGAATAAAGTGTACAAATAGGATTATATAATCGATCATATTGTTTTAGTTTCCTCATAAATAATCTCTCGTAATACGCATGTGGCATGAGAGACATAGACACAAGAGAATGTTTTGAATGTTACATTCCGTATTTTTTATATGGATGGAGTATTACGAGATGCTCTTAGAGTATAAAAATATGGAGATGCTCTTATACTCCATATTTTTTTAAAAATGACATAACGGATGGATCGAATAGTATTCAAGAAGTAGTTCATTTTTATCAATAAAACTATTCTTACTAAAACATACACTGCCAATTGAATTATAAACATATGATTAATCCTTTCATATTTTTTTAGAAACAAAAGCAACAATTGGCAAGGGAACTCAACATTAATCCTCGTCAAGTGGAAGTCTGGTTTCAAAATAGAAGAGCCAGGTATTTATTGCATGGTGGATGTTTTCTTTTAGACGGTTTTCAGTCCCAAACCAGACCAGACCAGACCAGACCAGGATTTCTTAATTATAAAATACACAGATAGAGTCATAGAGACCAGATGTTTACCAGACCAGACCAGACTTAAACAAACCAGACCAGACCAGCAAATTTCAGTCCAAAAGAAAACATCGATCCTAAATACACAAAAATTCGTTGATGGTCCCCTTCATCCTCAAATTAACTTTTAGCAATGTAATTAATTCCTCATGAGACGTGTAGTAATTGGCTGCATATAGGTGGACATTTGAGCGAATTATGGTGTTTTTACTTGAACCCTTTTCGATCTCAGATCAGATCAGACTAAACAGACTAGATTAGTTCAGATCAGACTACAAATTTCAGCTCAAGTAAAAACATTTTTATATTGTACACCCGGTTACGTTGTAAAGTGCTCGATGTATAACCGAGTATTTTATGTTAAAAGAAATAAGTATAATGTTTAGAAGAAATTAGTATTGGTATTAAATTATAAAAGTAGTACAATTAATATTTTGATGATAATACAATGTTAATATAGTTAAACGGATAAATTGATTTGTAGCATGTATATTACGTATAGATCATGACACTCAATTGCATGTTTCTAATACTCAATTGTGCTATCAAGGATGTATTTACTTGGACTGAAATTTGTTGGTTTGGTCTGGTCCGATATGTTAAACGTCTGGTCATTGTGTATTTTATAACTACAAAATTATGATCTGGTCTGGTCTGAACTGATCTCGTCTGATCTGTTTAAGTCTAGTCTGGTCTGGTTTGGGACTGAAAACAGTTCAAGTAAAAACTCACTAATACGTTAATTTGACAACAATGCTCTATTTTTTAAACGTTATACTCATTAAACATGCATAACATAAATTATCCGGTTATACGCATAACATAAAATTTCGGGTTGTATTGTCAACACGTACTGTATAATTGATCGATTTATGGCAGGTTTCAATTTAAAACTTCTTGAGAAAATGTAAATAGAATTCAAATCAAGTTATTTTTCTCTTAGGTTGGATTTGTATATATCAGAGTTTATGGAATTATATTTGTTCTATATATATATGTCGAATTATCTTTTGGTTTTAGGGTACGTAAGTGATTAATTATATGTTTGATATTTTGGGTGTGTATAGAACAAAGCTAAAGCAAATAGAAGAAGATTACGAGTTGTTGAAGAAATGCTGCGAGAAGTTGAGGGATGAGAACATGAGGCTAGAGAAAGAGGTACAAGAACTGAAAGCTCTAAAGCTATCGAAACCCAGCTTTAGCATCCAGTTACCGGTAGAAGGGCCGCGAAAAGCTTCTTTTATGATGACTCATCTCAGTCATTTCTACAGCACAAAATAGCCTGCCCGCCGTCCGCAGCTCGAGTCCTAATTTGTAATTAAATCTGTATATAATTATATATGTAAATATATAATTACTATAACTATTGTTATTGTTCGTGTGGGATGATTTATTATTAGAAAAATGTCACTTATACACGTTGCTTAACGCAAGTTTACACTTAAGTCTAGTTATCTGTGCACAGACAATTACACTTGGACATGTAAACCTACGTGTAATCCATCGTGTACAAGTAGCGCATTTATTAATATTAGTACTTCAAGACTTAATTGGTTTAAAGTGATGTGATGAAGGCTAAGCTAATTTGTGATGGAATTCATATCTGCGTTATATAGAGGTGTTTTTAATTGAATTGGATTTTTCTAGTCTTATTTTATCTTGACAATTAAATGTTTGTGTTTCTTGTGGGCCGCTACTTATCAAGTATGACATTGTGATTGTACGAGGACTTAATTGACATTTGATAACAATATAGGACATATTTGACAATATTTCCTATAATAAGTTGAGCCTTATATTATTTTTCATTTGTTTGGGGGTCCTATTGCGACCGTTTTAATTTTCATATCCTTGATTGATAGCTAGTATATTCTTCGGGTCCTATAATAAATTTAAAGAAAACGATTAAATTTCTATTATTAAATTACTCCTACAATCACTATTCACATTTTTATAAACAATTTTTATTTTAGTCGATACACACATTTATTTATTTCTGATGTGATTGACCATGTTTCAATATATTTGACCATGTTTGACTATGTCTGATAAATTTTAATAATATTTGGCTTTGTTAACTCACCCTTTACAACATTTGTCCATGTTTGACCATATTTGACTTATGATTGTGCGCAGTTATTTTTGAATGTTAGAACTAGGGGTGGGTTTGGTTAACAGATCGGTTTTCACCTAAAACCAAATGCCGAATTAAACTAAAAAGTTCAGTTCGGTTCGGTTTTTTGTTCAAAAACTAGAACCACGGTTTGTTCGGTTGGGTTTATTTCGGTTCGGTTTCGATTTTTTCAGTTTTTGCCAAAATATTTTTGTTGATTAAATAAATATTAATTGAAAAAAAAAACTATAATTAATAGTCATACAAAAAAATGAGAGAAGAAACAAATGCACTTTCAAGCAATGAATTAGAGAGCACATGTATACCAATTTAAACATTTTCTAAATTAATTAAACGCATAAGTTTAATTGTGAATTATATATAGTGCGTTCGTAAGTTAAAATTTTATTTGTAAATGTTGTGTCCACTAATCCATTTTCTTTTTTACTAAAAGACTTTTCTTAATAGTAAATAACTTATTCTACTTTTTTTAGACAAAGTTATTTATGCTCTAAAGTTTCACGCTTTCTGCTATGTTGTTTAAAGTATAATTTGTATTAATACATATTTGTTCTATATAAAAAGATACAGATTATGTGATAACAAACTGATACACTTGTAATTTCCGTGTGTATGATTATGTTTTTAGCTAGTTTTGGTTGTTTAATATTTCGGAAATTACGCACTTTTGGTGTAATAGTTTAGTTTGTTGAATTCTTGTAAATTGTTTAGATTAGGTTTATTTTGAGCTTAAACAGGTCCATGATCAATCAAATGATCATTGGTGAAGGAAGGTGGAAGAGTACAAGACAAAAAGAAGGAAAGTTCCTGATTTTGACCTGTACTCGGTCGAGTACACCTTATACTCGATCGAGTACTAATACTGATTTTCAAGAATCCGATCTGGGAACAAAGGAACATGCAAGGAAAGATTTGGCCACGTTCTATTGTCATACCCGATCGAGTACACCGACATACTCGATCGGGTATACATACAAATTCCAACCTGACTTCGGTCGAGTATGGCTCAAAAGTCACCATTTTACACATACTCGACCGAGTACACTACCATACTCGATCGAGTACCCGAGCTGCATGTCCCAAAAGCCTATAAATACACCCCCTTTCCTTCACAATTAGACCACCAATTCACATATACTTCTTAGCTCAGTTTAGACAAGTTCTTTCTTTATATTTTTCATCATGTTTAGTCTCCAAATGAGGAGCTAAACTCTTCCATCTTGGTTTTGCTACTTTGAAGCTTGATGATTTGTAAGTTGTGAGTTATTTTCTTTAATCTTCTTCCTTGAATATTAATTACTTCCTATTCATATCCCATATTAATATATTGAGCATCACTTAAAGTATCAACTAGTTTTGTTCTATATATTAATTATTACTAGAATCAATCGGTTAATACGCTTGTTATTAACTCGGTTCTTTCAATGGTAGTAAACTTGGATTGTTAATGCATGCTTCTCATGGTTAATAAGCCAAGGGGAATTAATTATATTGATTAAACCAATAAACCGCTTGTGTTGAGGTTATCAATCTCAATCGTTTTCATCTTAAGTTTATTGCTACTATCAAGTTAATATACGGCGCTTGTTCTATATTGACTCGATAGTAAGTTTTGTTAATGAACGCATCTCGTTATTAATAACTACCCTCGATGAACTGGATATACTCCTCGATTGTGTCACGCCCCGGACCTCCCCGGACACGTCGACAATCCGCCGTACAATACGAATAGTCAACCGCAGTCCAACATATTCATATTATACAAGGCGTCTTGAATATCATTCACACGTATACATCCATAAACAAACATAATAAGTAATTCATAACGCAGCGGAAAACATTGTCTAAAACAAGAAGGCCACACAAGGCATTTCATGAGCACGCAGGCTCTATAGTAAAATATCCATGAGCAATTTTATTAATGTTTCAAATGGAATGGAGGAAGCACGAACCAAGTCTTCTCTCCTAGGAATCACTCGATCAACGAGCACAGGATGCAAGCTCTAGCCTCAACCTGAAATGGTGGTGGGACGCCCCCGAAGGGGTCAGTACTCTATACGGCTATAAAGTACTGGTGTGGCAGGCATCTAATAGATATACAACAAGTATTTCACACACAAGACCCTCAAATAGGGTGATAATATAGTTTAGGCCGTAATCCCAAATTACCCCTTTCAAAATATATACTTACTTTATATAAAGTCAAGTAGTCGGCTCAAAGGCCCATGTTTATTACAAAACATTTCCCAAACCCCGTGACTAATAGTCACGACAATACATAGGGTCCAACCCTAATATAACTTCCCATTTCTAGAGTTCGGCTCGAGTACATCATCATGTACTCGCATCATAGATCTCCTACTTCATGTAATCATATCATAGATCTCCTACTTCATGTATTCACCCCATAGATCTCCTACTTCATACAATCACACCATAGATCTCCTACTTCATACAATCACACCATAGATCTCCTACTTCATACAATCACACCATAGATCTCCTACTCCATGAAATCACACTTGACACTTGAATCTTATTCAAGTTCATCACAAACAACTCAAACCTTAAGTTTGATTCTATCGACATTTAGAACAATCCTTAACTAGCATCACAATACTATTAAGATTATTCCTACAACTCATTTATCATTAATGGTAGCTCCTCCATATCAATAGATATGTGGCAGCCTCCCATGTGTCAAGCATCATCATGCAATTATACATTTACATACACATCACATTCATACATTAGTTGGAAAGGTCAATTTACCATATTAGCATACCTCTATCTCACATGACTCCATATTCTTCAATATGGTTTCAATTCATGATCAAGTCCATTACTTATCATTCACATCATGTTCAAGCATATTTATTCACAAAAACATGATTTAAACATTTAGGTAATCTCATGCATAACCTACAAGTTGTAAGCAACTAGATGTCGGTCCTCACCTTAATTGAGCTTTAAACTTTTCATTCTTGATCCAATGGTCAAAGCTTTGGCCAAGGTGGATTAAGAACTGATTCCTTGCTTAATTATGAGTGTTAAACAGCCTCCTCAAAGTGCTAGCTCAACCCTCAAACGTTGATACAAAAACAGCCCCTAGAATGGGTGTTTTCCGGTTAGCTCGTTTCCTAGTTTTCCAAGATTTACTCTAGGTTAGTATCTAACCTTTACATCAATGAAATAACTTTACAAGGACATATTACACACTTGTATTAGTGTACAATAGTTCCACCAATCGTTCATATCATTTGGAAAATGAAAGGAAAGGTTTTGGGGTTAACAACTCACTTTAGAGGAGTAGATCCGTTTCTGCGAGGTTGCGTTTTGCTCGGACGATTTGGAAGCCTTCCACTACTCCGATTGATGCAAACCAGACCTTCAAGGATTCCTCGTCTTGATATCTTTCTTTTGGTATCTTATACGCCTTAATTGGATTGGTATAACTCGAGATATCCACCAAACAGCTTCAGCACTCTCAGAGCTCGAGTTTACAGACCCCTGCTCACTCCAGCTCGACTTTTGTATGATTACCCTCTCCTCTCGAACAGAGACCACTCAATAATGAAAATAGACTTCAAAGGCTATCCAAGGACACCTTAATCAAGCTATTTGGGCGAGTACAACCCTCAAAATGAAGGGAGACAAAACAGCACACCTGTTTGTGCGAAAACAGTGGTGGTGGCCCCAAAATTTGATTCCAATTGTGTCATGGGCAGTGCTTCTCCATGTGGTGCGGTTAAGGTGAGTCTTCTCACATGTTTTCCTTGTCTTGCAGGTACTCAAGCTACATGGAATGCTTCCCAATTGATCTCAATCAAATTGAGGTCCAAAATATCTACCAATACTTCCAAAAATGGGAAGATGGGTCCTATTGTTTTATCTTTGTCAAAGATGTCTTTTTGTACTCATCCTAATTTATTTAGAACAAGTCAACTTCCTAAATTGCATTATTGATCTCCAATATGTGTAGGCTCATCCCAATAATTTACTTGATGGATATTATAGAAGGAAAATCCTACTCCCATTATTTAGCTCAATAAGGCCAAAGATGGGGTTATAGGCAATTGTATTCTTCTTTAATCATTCTATCACTTATTTGACATTTGTCATACATATTATTGGGCTACTAGCCGTGTGGGTCACTCCCGAGTGGGTCTAGAACGACATTCTCGAATACTTGCTATTTTTAGCAGGTTGGGCCCAAAATAATGTTTGGGCCGCCCGACCTTCCTCAAATTGTCTTGAAAGATTATGTATCACTATTTAGATAATGTTGGGCCCTTTTATTTATTAATAAGTCCCGAATAAGTATTTGCAAAACCCGACACTAATGTACGAGTTTGAACAGTACGATATTCAACCATGCACTACGTAGAACATTAATCGTTTTACAATTGTTTGGAGATCGGAAATTCAATACATAAATTTGAATATTTAAAATTAAATCTCCAAGGACATTCGGGTGCGGTGTCACAAGTTCACCCCCCCTTAACAGGAATTTCGT